TATATATGTATGTATGTATATACTACACACCTGGTTGCCACCCATGTCTCTATCGGCTGTGCCTGAGCGATCGTCCACTTTCCTTATCAGACAGCCTGCCGCCAGCGCTGCCGCCGCCCGAACCTCGGGATCTGGATCGAATAGTAGCGCACACATAGTCTCATGTGCACGCTCGTTGAACGCCAACTCTTTGGCTATTTCGACCTCCTCCCACACCTGTATTGTGGGTGTTAGATTTGAGCAATCAGCCAAACGTACTGCTATTGAGGGCATAACAACGTGCGAGAAGATGTGCCGAATACCAACACGTCTCGTGTACTGATGGATAGGAACAAAAACTATAAGCGCATGTACAGACGCACTCAAAAGTGCACAAATCTTCATCAGTGCAACAACACGTCCCGTGTACTGATGGATAGAAACATGACTATAAGCGCACGTGCAAACGCACTCAACAGTACACAAATCTTCATCAGAGCACAACTTCCTATGCTTGTATAGACTTCGCTTCGCAATTTCTATATAACTAACCGCTACAGCACGGGCATCAAGGATTCCGCACCTAACCGTGCAACCCAGTGGACATCCTGACTATTCACGCGACGACACATCTTGTGCGCGAGCAACGTCCTGAAAACCATACCATCCCCACCATCGCACCAATATATAAATATGGTCACACCTCTTGTAGGGTTTTATGGACTAGGGTCTAGGTTAAAGACCACTAACGAAATGACTGACACATGACGCTTTCAACGATTATACCTTTGCCGCGCACAGGCAGATCCATTTGCGTGCGTGTGCGTCTAATTCCAGCACGACCCGTTGCAGCAATAGCCGGTTAATCTTCCAGATCAGATCATTCCCTTGGCGAATGCAGGCCTTCTGTCCTACTGGATTATTGTCCACTATGGCAGACAGGCAGAACGCCGCCATCGCCCGCACGCGCATGGGTGTCCCAGCGTCGCACAGAATCTCAATGAAATAGGCCTCGCCACCCTCTTTGCTGATGTCGTGTTGGCACGACTTGTCTACCATTAACACCTGTGTATATACCGCACAGATGAGTGATAGTCTTTCGTTGAGTGTATGGTATAGTCATCTTGAGGTTAAGCAATTGAAGAAACTTTCGTTGAGTTCATATTATAGTCATCTTGAGGATAAGCTATTGAAGCAAAGGATACAGCTGGAGGTGAGTTGTTCGAGTATCAACCCTATCCAGCCCAACGCCCGTGTGTTTACACCCCCCATGACGCGTGTACAGCGCGGTTGGGTCGTCGCATAAGAGACAGTGTACATAGATATTCAGCCTGAAGCTCGTGAAGCGTATCGGATCCCCATCCAGACACGCCATCGTTCGCGAGGCACGACAAAGGGGATTGTGTAGTGCGCGGTACGATTCGACCAGAGATGTGGCTGTGTATCGATAGAGTAGGATACGGACTCCCACACAGACAATCTGGCTTGCTGGCGTATGTGAGAGGGTGTTTTGTCTACCAACCACTGACTGGTATATGCGCGCTATTGCTGTCTACGAGGACAATGGATAGGATGACCACATTGCATTATGGGCCTAGCGACTCGGATGACTCGGCATGTGTGTAGGCATGTGTCTATATACCACAAGAATCCCTACGGTGTGCGTAATAGTACAAGATGACTCAAAGCCGTAATCAACAAACAAATAGACGGTCCACGCATCCGTGTGCCGCATACAATTGAACCTCACATGCAACCCAGCCCACTGTACCTTTGTCCAGATAAAACACAGGATACTCCGGATCGACAGGTCTGGTGACTGGAGGAGTTTGAGTACGTACGGAAAGATGCCCACGGACAACGCCAGATTCACGGCCCAGGCACCTAAGTCTAAGAACTCTTGTAGTAGTTGCAGTGCACGCAGTCGGTGCGCCTGCGACAACAGCACCTGTAATACTATCGGCAATTGTTCGGGCGGGTCTCGTTCCTGCGGAAAGGATGGGATGGGATGAGAGCTAGCATCTATCTAAATTATCATATATCTGACTATCTATTTATTTATCTATCTATCTACCTATGTATGTATGTTTGTATGGAGGGATGTATATATGTATATACGTATGTATGTACATATAGGGTCGAGGGTCTGAGATTCTTGGCTTGATTGATGGACTGATACTGTACATCGGATTTTGCATCCACTTGAAGTTTTTAACATGGCCAAACTCCACTGAAGCGGCAATAGCGTCTCATAGCATGGTTGAGGTAGCTCTACCGTGCATACAATAGCGACTAGAAAAAATATGTGAGGATAAGCAAGGAATAGATAACAATT